CCGTGTGGGTGCTGAGAATCAAACCTGGGTCCTCTGTAAGAACAGCCAGTGCTCTTATGCACTGAGCCACCTCTCCAGCCCCTCCTTAGAAAATCTTTATAAGCAAAGTGGATGTAAATTCCACTCGGCCTCTATAGGCAGCTCTTCCAGCCCCTCATATACATACAGCATAGCACCTTTCCTCCCACTGGCCCACTGTCCTAGCTTTGTCAACTTGTCACAGCCTAGAGTCATCAGAGAGGAAAGCCTCCATTGTGGAATTTCCTAGATCAGATTGGCCTATAGGTGTGTCTTGGGATGTTGTCTTGATTATTAACTGTTGCAGAGGGGCCCAGTCTACTGTGGGCAACATCATCCCTAGGCAGGTGATCCCGAACTGTATAAGAAAGCTAACCAAGCACAAAAAGGTGAGTGAGTGAGCCAGTGAGCAGTGTTCCTCCACATTACTGCCTGGAGTTCCTGCCCTGACCTCCCTCAGTGAGTGGCTGTCACCTGGGGGTGTAAAATAACTCCTTTCCTCTCCCATGTTGCTTTTGGGCTAGTGTTTTGTCACAGCAACAGAACCAAACTAGAACACCGACCTTCCCTGTTCTGGCTTGTTCTGGCTTGTTCTAGCAGAGGCTGCTCCTCTCTTGACTTGAGATCTTTAAATCTTATGCCACATAATCCCATGTGGGACTCATCTGTGCAGAGCTGGAAGGTTTTACATTGGTTTGTTTATTCATCATAAATTTTTTTTGTCTTTATTGACAAAGTAAAAAAACTGCGGTTGAAAGAAGTTACAAACAAAAGTATACCTTTCATTTTTTAATATTTTTACTTGTATGAGTGTTTTGCCTGCATGTAAGTATACCCATGTGTGCAATACCCATAGAGGACAGAAAAGGGTGTCAGATGCCCTCGAATGGGAGTTAAGGATGGTTGTTAGCCACTGTGAGCTCTTAACTGGCTGAACCACCTTTCCAACTCTTTCGGTTTTTTTTTTTTTTTTTTTTTTGAGACAGGGTCTCATTATGTAGTCCTGGCTGGCCTGAAACTCACTATGTAGACCAGGCTGGCCTCAAATACAAAAAGAGTGAGTGGCTTCAGCCTCCCGAGTGTAAGGTGTGTGCCACTATGCCCTGCTCTACACATTTTAATCTTGCTTGCAGTTTGGTAGATGATCTGTGTCAACTTGGCATTGAGGAGTTCCTCAGCATGATCAAAACTCCCCACATTCAGCAGCTTTAGAAATTCTTGCTTTTCCTTTCTCCATTTCTCAGCATGCACCAATTGTATCCTAAAGTTTTATTTTGTCTTGAGACAGGGTCTCACTATGCAGCTCAGGCTGGCTTTGAACTTGCAGTGATCTTCCTTCCTTCATCCTGACATGTGCCAGCACACCTTACTTTTCCATTCCTTTTAATTTTATGTATTATGTTTTATTTCACGTGTATGAGTGCATTGCTACATGTATGTAAGTGCACCCATGTTGTGTTACGGACAGTTGTTAGACACCTTGTGGGTGCTGGGAATTGAACCCGGATCCTCTGCAAGAGCAGCCAGTGCTCTTAACTGCTGAGCCATCTCTCCAGACCCATTTGTTTGTTTGTTTTTCTTTTCTTTTTCTTTCTTGCTTTCGTTTTCTTTTCTTTTGTCTTTTTGAGACAGGGTCTCCCTGCAGCCCCAGGTGGCCTTGAACTTGCTATGTAGACCAGACTGGCCTCTAACTCAGCCTCTGCTTCCCTAGGGCTGGGATTAAAGGTGTGGGCTCTCCATTTGTTTGGTTTTTTTAAGAAAGGGTCTTCCTGTAGCCCCAGCTGGCCTGGATATGTAGCTCTACCAGGTTGGTCTCCATCTCACAGTGATCCTCCTGCCTTTGCCTCCCAAGTGCTGGAATTAAAGGTATGCAGCACCATACCAGATACCTGTTTTTCTTTTTTGAAGTAGGGTTTTGCTCTTCAGTGTAGGCTGGCCTTGAACTTGCAGTCCTCCTGCCTCAGTCATACAAGCATGCACATCGCTCTCCCACTGGTGGGCTTCTTGTTTCTTGCTACAGCATCCATCTGCTTATTGCAAACCTTTGATTATTTTCTAGTGCTTCAATGGAGTTAAACAATCATTTATTTATTTATTTATTTTTATTTATTTATATTTAATCAGGATCACCTGTATCACAGACTAGCATTGAACTTGTTATGTAGCTGAAGATGACCTTGAACTTCCAGTCCTCCCACCTCCACCTCGATAATGATGGGCTTACAGGCCTGTGCCATCATGCTGGGATCTTCAGTGTTTCTTTGGAGGAGAGGCCCCTGGTGCCTTCTGCATCAATTCTTCCATTGTATTCATATTTAGCCCTGTAGATACTTTAGTTACTCCTCTGTAAAATGGGGCTAAAAAGGGGGACGGGGTACAAAGCTTGATAAAGTCTTTAGGGCTATAAGGAAAAATAAGCCCTTTCTGGTGACTTCAATTAACTGATTTTGTTGAGAAACACTGAGAAGAAAGAGAATCAGGATGCTATTCAGGTCCAACCAACAGTATCATGGCAACAGCAATGCCTGACTGTGTCACATTGCTGGCCTCCCCTCACCTATTCTTTGTTATACACTGGTCACCTCAAGACATCCCCTTCCATGCCATGTGGCTGCATTCTCCAAAGAGAGATGAGTCCATTGGTTCCAGGGAAGCTAGAGCAGGCCACCTCATAAGACTGCTGGTCAGCCAGCAGATAACTTCCCTGGCTGAACTCAGCCTAGTCCAAGTGGCTTTGGGTCGGCCAAGGTGTCATTCTATCCAAAACAGGAAGTGTGGCCATGGGAGTGGTGGGGGGAGCAGGTCACATGTGCACAGATGTTGGATGCCTCTCTCTACTTTTTTTTGTATGTTTGATTTTTGTTTTTTAAAAATATTTTATTTTTATTTTATTTTATGTGTATGAGTGTATTGCCTGAATGTATGTAAGTGCGCCCATGTTGTGCAATATCTGAGAAGGTCAGAAGAGGTCCCCTGGAACTGGAGCTACATGTGGGTGCTGAACCCGGATCTGAACCCAGAACTGAACCCGGATCCTCTGCAAGACCCGTGCTCTTAACCGTTGAGCTGACTCTCCAGTCCCTTGATTTTTGTTTTTTGAGACAGAATCTTTTATATGTATATATTTTATTTATTTATTTATTAATTTAAATATTGACAGGGTCTACCATCACCCCAGCTGACCTGGAGCTCATTATGTAGACCAGGCTGGCCTCCATCTCACAGAGATCACCCGGCCTCTGACTCCTGAGCACTGGGATTAAATGTATGTGCCACCACTCCCAGCATTTGATTCTCTTTTAACAGTTACATCTTCCAGTGCTTATTTATCTTTCTTTTACTTCTTTCTGCATTTCAGTTGTTAGCTGCCATGTGGGTGCTGGAATTCAAACCCAGGTCTTCTGCAAGAACAACCAGTGTTTTTAACCACTGAACCATCTCTCTAGCCCCTGAGACAGGATCTTGCTATATATCCCTGACTGGCCTGGAACTCACTATGTAGACCAGGCTGGTCTTGAACTCACAGAGAGTCACCTGCCTCTGCCTCCCATGCTAGTGCTAAAGACATGCACCACTATACCTGGCCTTGTTTTTGAATTTACTTATTTATTATTTATTTATTTAATGTGTATGTGTGTGGGTGTATGTTGGGAGCTGTTAGTCTATTATGTACATTGAGCTGTGGCAGGCTTGTTTACTGAGTTTGTGTTATGCACATCAGTACCTAATCTGCCAAATCAGGAGGAATGTGTTTATATGGAGAGCCTCACAACACCTGACCTGGAGGCAATAGTGGTAAACAAAAAGATCAAAGAAGCCTTTGAAGTATTTGACTGCTCCTTGACCCTCAGATACAGGTGGGAAAAACAGCTGTTGAAACTAATTGAGTTCTTCTGTATAAAAAGGCAGAGCTGACATAAACCGGGGCTGCAGTCTCTACTGACAGCCCTCCTGAGTATCTTTTCTGTCTCTTGTTTTTTCTTTCAATCCTCACTCCCCCTTTCAGGTACTATCTGTCTTGGCTGGCTGGCACTGGCAGGTGTACATGTATCGCACCACACTTGAGGTCAGAGGACAACTTTGGGTAGTTGATTCTCTCCTTCCATCATGTGGTCCTGGGAATCTCTTTGTTTCAGGGTCTCCAGACCAGCCAAGGCAGGTTCCTGTGAATAGTAGTCAAAGGAATAAAACTTCAGCTGGGGTCTGCCCTGTGGCTTACTTTGGTTTCTTTTATTTATTCTTCTTTTATATGTATGAGTGCTTTGCCTGCATGTATGTAAGTGTACCACATGGGTATAATGCCCACAGAGGCCAGAAGAGGGCTGGATCCCCTGGAACTGGAGTTATGGATGGTTGTTAGCTGCCATATGGGTGCTGGGAACTGAACCCCGATCCTGTGCAAGAGCAGCCAGTGCTCTTAACCACCAAGCCATCTCTCCAGGCCCTTATTTTGATTTCTAAAGTCCTCATATCCTCTCAGCTATCAACAACCTGTGAGTTCTGAACAAATGCCCTGTGCTGGCTCAGCATCTCATATATGATGCACTCAATATATGGAGGACAGGAAACCTTGCTCTTCTCTCCATGGGACAGGTAGTATAGGTGTGCGAAGATGACTCAGGCCTCTTCCCCATCCATCATGAATACCGGCTAGGTTGCTGAACTCCTGCTCAGTCTGAATGCCTGCCTCTTTGAGGCTAGATTTCTGGGAAGACGCAACACTGGAGAGGCAGAGGATGCAGGGGAAAGCTGGGGCTCAAGAAACTGGAAAGTGGTGGTTACCCATCCAACCAAGCACACAGAGCTCCTTGCAGGCCTATGTGGCCCCTCAGCTGTCATGTGGTCCAGAGGATACTTCATAAATCTCTGCCCCTCTCAGGATCTGGCCCCCACCTGTGAAGTGGGTACAATCATCCCTCCCTATCAAGCTCACTGAGGCCAAGAGAGCCAGCAGGCCTCTCTGTAAGTAAAGACTTCATGACTTCATCATACAAATGAACAGACTTTATTAAACTCAGGAGCAGGGTCAGAGGGAGGAACAAAGTGGAAAGATGGTGGTAAGTGCTTAGGACTCCTGCCCTGAGACCCTCAAGGAAAAGAGAAGCAGGGAATGGGCAGGAGGATCAGCACTTTTAAGGAGGGAGATGGAGGCTGCATCCTGGCTCTACCATGGACCAGTCACTTCCCACCACAGGGAAGCACAATCCCTGTCCAGTTCATCCGAAAGGCCTCATTGAGGCTTCCATGAGAGTAGGTATGGAAGAAACTCTGCAAACTGCAGTTCACACATGTAGGCTAAGTGCTTTTCTGTTAGACAGGCCCAAGTTGCTTTTAGCGAGTGTTGGCCATGAAAACACTGTTTGAGGCTCAGAGGTCAGTCGTTTGAATTTTCTTAGATTTTAACACCTGTTCCCCTCCCCTCAATTTTCCCGGTACCCTCTGTCCTGACTGGGGCCTCCAGGGAAGAGGAGGAGGAGCTGTTGTTTTGGGGTGAACCGAGGTAGAAGCCATGAAAGAATCCTCCTCAAGGCCTGCAGGTGGCTTTGCCTCCTGGGGTCAGCTGGTGGCTTGATGAACATACACAGTCCTGGTGTCAGGAAAGGGCCCTGACCCCGCACACTCTTTTCCCCAGACTGTTGCTTTCTGCTATGCTCCTTTGTATGTCTCAGTGAAGTCCATTCCTTTGTGTCCTGCTCCAGTCCTGGATGAGTGGTAGAATAACCGCTGGTCCTTCCTCACCATATCCTGAGTGGCCGCCAGCCAAGGATGGAGGATGGTTCCTGCCCCTTCCTGGCACTCACAGATCAAGAGGCCCAGGGTAGCAGAGGTCAGAGCCCAGCTTGTCATTCCTCTGGGCTGGGTCCCAACTCCAGAAGCAGTGCCAAGAGGAGGGCTGTGCGGAGCCTGATGGGTGTCTTCAAAGTAGAGCCTTGAAGAGGAAGGAGAGGGAGGCTCCGCAGGAGAGGCCCAGGGCCAGGAAAAAGGTCATGAGGGCTCCGGCCACCTCCCTCTCATGTGGCAGCACCTGCCTAGAACACAGGAACAGGAACTTGTAGAAAATGCCTAGCCCCAAAGATAGCTCCTAAGCGCTCTGCCAGCCCTATGTAAGTCACCTGAGTTCTAGTCTAGGTCTGACTGTGCCCCCGTGTCATTATAACCTGTCCTCTGGGCTTCAGTTTCCTCATCTGTAAATAAAGTTGCTCAAAAAAATCAATTCTTGGGAGCCAGAGAGATGGCTCAGTGGTTAAGAACACTGGCTGCTTTTGCAGAGGACCTGGTTCAGTTCCCAGCACCACGTGGCAGCTAACAACTGTCCACAACTCCAGTTCCAGAGACTCTGATGCTCTCTTCTGACCCTCACAGGCATTGCATAACATGGGTGTATACAAGCAATACACATACAATAAAACTAAAATTAAAAAAAAAAAACTTTAAAAAAAGGGCAATCCTTGGGGCCTAAGAGTCCACCTTTGTAGGGTTCTAGATTCCATTACTTTACGTTCCCAACAACGTCCAACTGGTTCTTGTCACCTCTACTCTCCCAAGAGTCCCAGCCCCATTGTCCGTACAGGAAATAGCCCAGGAACTCTGCTTTTGATCAAAGTATCTTATCACTCTCTTTCTTTTTTTTTTCTGTTTTCCTTTTTTTTTGAGACAGAGCCTCCCTGTAGCCCCAGCTGGCCTGAAATTCACTATGTAGACCAAGCTGGCCTTGAACTCAGAGATCTGCCTGCCTCTGCCTCCCGAATGCCAAAGTAGCTCCCTTTCAACTAAGAATTTTGGAGCTAAATGGGCTCCAAAGGATGACAGTCCAACCCATTTACTTAGACAGGAAAACTGAGGCCCACTGAGGAAGGCTCTAGAACCAGCAGCTGAACTCAAGCAAATAACTTTTCTCCTACCTCCCCAGCGTGAGGCCAGAGCAGCAGTGAAAGTCTGACCCACAGGGTGGCGCCAGAGGATCCTGAAGGCAGCCAAGGAGACTGGCCAGGGTAGGTGTCCTGCTCTTGCAGGTGCCCCTCCGCAGAGAGCTAGCCCATCCCCATCCCCATCCCCCAGCCTTGTGCCCCCTCAGACCTTGGTGCCAGACACATGGTGAGCGACACCAAGTAGCCGTTGGAAATGGCGAAGAGCAGCATGAAGGTGATGAAGTAAGCGTCCTGCCGGAAGAGGATGGGCAGCCGAGCACGCTTGGGCACGTGGCACAGCATGAAGAGAGGCACAAACAGAAAGCGCAGGCACACCAGCAGGGGCAGTAGCCGGCTGTCCTCGTCTGGCTGTGACAGAGGCTTGGGTGAGTGCAGTCTCTAGGGACACGTCTGGACACCCATAGTGTAGACCCAATGTTTACCCCCTCAGCACCTCTGCCCTGGCCCACCCTTGAGTCGGTGAGGACCCAACCCAGTGCTGAGGCTTCTAGGGAGTCAGGAGATGGGTGAAGGACACCTCACAACCAGCTGGGACTAGCTTTGGCCTCTTCTCCATAACACCTTTAGACAGAATCTCTTATTTTCAAACTAATTTCTTCAGGGCACCCGTAGGTATTTCACAAACTCCTTAGTGACAAATGGAGCTTCTTTTCTGCTTTTATGTTTTCAACTGACACATTAAAAACTGTGCAACTGAGGCTGGAGAGATGGCTCAGTGGTTAAGAGCACTTGCTGTTCTTGCAGAGGACCTGGTTTCAGTGGCGGCTAATAACCACCTGTAACTCCAGTTCCAGGGTATTTTCTGGCCTCTGAGGGCACTGCACGTACATGGTATATATACCTACATGCAGACAAAACACTCAAGCACATAAAAATAAATATTTTAAACCATTTATTTATTTCTATTTTATGTGTATGACTGTTTGGCTTGCATGTATATATGTGTATGACTGGCCTGCATTTTACCCAATGGGTAATATGCGTGCAGAGGCCAGAAGAGGGCATTGGCTCTCCTGGAAATGGAGTTATAGATGGTTGTTAGCCACCATGTGGGTGCTGGGAACTGAACCTGGGTCCTCTGCAAGAGCAGTCAATGCGCTTAACTGTTGAGCCACATCTTTCCAGCCCCATTAAAAAATAAATCTTAAAAAAAACCTGTGCAAATGTATGAGGTACTATGTGACGTTTTGTTTCATGCATACATGATGTAATGTTTAAACCAGGTTCATATCTGTCTTCTCAAGCACTGATCATGAGTACTGAGGACTAGGCTGTGGATGGATGTGGGGGACACAGAGGCCACTGGATGTGGTGGCTTTTGCTTTGGAAGAGTTCGTGGTGGGTTCTTCCACTGCCAGATTCGGGGGACTACCAGAAAGTTGTCCTTTTAGCTTCTTTTGAATCTTTGGTCCCCAATTGCTTCCTAAGCCACCAACTGGCTCAGCCTAGGCATACGTACCCAGAGGAAGTAGGAGGTCAGACTCCGGCCCAGCCAATCCATGATGTTGAAGAGCAGGAAGCAGCAGATAGGGTTGAAGAACTGACCTGGGGAAGACAGTGGGCTGACAGTCACCCTGGTCCCCAGCTGCCCCATTCCCTCAGCTCCCTATCCTCTTCTTCACCCCAACACTCACTCCACTTTCCAGGACTGGTGGAGCTGGTCACCATGGCTGTGATGGCGGGAAAGACTGACAGGGTGACTGTGAAGACCAACACAAGGCACAGCGCCGTCAGCCAGATCTGGGAGCCAGAGGCAGGGGTGTCAGTGGGCAGGGAAGCCCCTAGTCCACCACACAGGCTCCAACCCTCTTGCTGCAGCCCTGCCCAGGAACAGGGCACCTGGGGCTCAGCCTACTGTGTCTAACCCTCACCATGACCCAGTGACCTTAGGGTAGGCCAATGAGCACTAAGGCTCAGTTCCAGTTTCAGAGAATCCCACCCCCGAGAACTGGAGAAGGTGTCCCAAGGTAGATGGTCAACAGTTATCTTCTAGCTGAACCTTCCAGAAGAGAACAAACCTTCTGGAAAACAACAAAGACTGAAGGTTTTTCTGGCTTCAGCGGCTCATCCACTTCTAGCTCTGGCTCCTTCTCAAGGTCAAGATTCAGAATTGAGACTGCTTTTGGGGGGCTGACGGGAATCCCATTCTTCTCATCTAGGTAGAGAGGAGACTGGGGTCATACTTGGGGCTCAGATTTCCTGGCAGCCAGGCCCAAAGGAAGGACATTCTCAGTGATGAAAACAAATATCTCTTGAAAGTCCATGTAGAAGGGAATTAATGACAGCAATGTGCTATTTATTTACTCCAGTATTGGGGCCTGACTCACGGTCTCATGGCTGGTAGGCCCTGTGATTCTACTACTGAGTTACATCCCAGAACTTGGGTTTTAAATTTTAAAAAAATGTTTATGTATATGTGTGTTGTCTGCATGTATCTATGTGCATCACATTTATGCAGTGCCTCAGAGGCCAGAAGAGGGTGTGAGTGCCCCTGGACATGGAACTACAGAAGGTTGTGAGTGGCCAAATGGGCACAGTAAGTGCTCCTAAGTGTGGAACCATCTCTTCACCTCCTTTTTTTGGAACAGGGTCTAACTCTTGCCCAGGCTGACTTGGAACTCACTATGTAGCCTAGCCTGGCATCTTGCTTGCTCTCTTCTTGCCTCAGTCTCTGGAATGCTGGGAGTCCAGGCATATGTCGCCAAGCCCAGTCTATATATTAAGCATTTGCATGTGCAGGGAACGAGGTAAACATCTTTGGAAAAGTCTCTCATTGTGGCTTTGCAAGGAAAAAATGGAGGTCAGAACAGTTAAGGAACCTGCCCAAGGCCGTATAGCCAGGTTTCAAACTCAGATGCCTTTGGATCCAGAGCCTGGCTGTGTGAAGCTCTGCTGCCTCCCCATTTTATTCCAGAGGCAACTGAGGCTGACAAGGTAGCAGGGACAACTTGTCTCCCACAGACTTCCTTTTGTGACCTGCCTGCCTCTGCTCATACAAGGCTTGCAGAGGTAGGGGCTCTAGTTGGAGACAGGAGGGAAAGCTTCCCAGGGGAGCTTACTACAGATTCACTTCTGTCTTTCCCACTTCCCCTGCAGGGTCCCAGGGCTTACCAGCCTGGAGGAGCTCGGCTTTGGTCTCCAGCTCCTGAGCTGGGGCCCGCGACGGGTTCTTGGTCAGGTAGTAGCGGGCAAACTCCTGCAGAAGGATCAGTAAGTGTCAGCCCTGCCTGAGAGGTTGTCTATCTCCCTGGTCCACACCCTTGGCTTGGAGCCTAAGCTTCCGGAGTAGCCATTTCCTTTGTGGGTGTTGGGTGTGGGGGAGATCAGAGCTGAATGCAGGTAGGTCTCTTCTCCCTCCCTTGGCCTCTCCTAGGCCTCAGACTCAGGGCTTTGTCCAAGATACCCAGAAGTGGGGCATGTAGCCCAATGGTAGGCTTACCAGGTGGGGCAGGCTCAGGTAACACACAATAGACAGGAGGATGCCCACACAAGGGGTGATGAAGTAGCCCAGGGCAGAGGTCTGGGCATCCACGCCACCTGTGACAGAAACTTTAGCTGCAGAAGACACACAAGTCCCACAGTCCTGTGCGGCCTCCACCTACCATCTCACTTCCCATGGTGCACCTCTCAGATTCAGCCTCTTCCCTTCTTTCCTTCACTATCAAACTTTTTATTTAAAAATTTTTTTAGCTGGGCATGGTGGCGCACGCCTTTAATCCCAGCACTTGGGAGGCAGAGGCAGGTGGATCTCTGTGAGTTCAAGGCCAGCCTGGTCTACATAGTGAGTTCCAGGACAGCTGGGGCTACAGGGAGACCCTGTTTCAAAAAGACCAAAAAAAATTTTTTTTTTAAATATTTTTTATTTTATGTGTGTGAGTATATTGCCCGCATGTATGTAAGTTCACCAGTGTTATGCAATGCCTGCGGAGGTCAGACAGAGGACATCAGATCTCCTGGAACTAGAGCTAAAGACAGTTGTTAGCCACCATATGGGTGCTGGGAACTGAACCCAGGTCCTCTGCAAGAGGGGCCAGTGCTCTTAACCGCTGAGCCATCTCTCCAGCACCAAACGCAGGAATCTTGTGGAGGACTGCACACCAGCCAGCCCTTCATGCCTCTCACTTTCCCTCCATGCTATTTTTTGCTGAACATCCCACATGTCAGAAACTTCCTCATAAATACTTTGTCTCCTGCCATCAACTGGTTAGCAGTGAAATGGAATCACTCAAGTCTACCTTAATCCCAAATGGAGCTCCCTTCCCTCAGCCTAAGCTTGTTGGCACTCAGGAATCCTGCCTTAAGGTAATCCAACCTCACCTGGTCTTCCCCTCTCTGTGCAGGGTCCAAGAGCCCTGCTCCTCAGCCTTATCCCCTACTTCCCCATCACTCCATCACCTCTGCCTCCATCCTAGAACCCAGGCATCTTCTTCCTGTGTCCCCTCTCTGCCCCCTCAAATCCCAGAGGCGACCCAGCCCTCCAGCCACCCAAGTACACTCACTGGCCATGGACATGAGCATAGCAAGGGCAGCGAAGATCCCAGCCAGGCCCTGGCCACTGAGGAAGAGGGTGCTGTAAGTGGAAGGCATGGTACCCAGCTGTCCGAAGAGGCTGCCCTGTAGCACTGCACAGAAGGCTGTGAAGGGACGGGGACAGGAAAACTGCTCAACCCAGCAGCCTTCAGGGGCATTGAAGGAGGGTATCAGTAAGGTGCACAGGGACTCTGAACCAGGTGGGGCAGCTGTGGGTTTTCCTGGAGATTTGGGGCAGCCTGGTGGAACATTCCCCATCTAGTCTTCTCCTGAGATACAGTCATTGTCTGTGGGGCTACTGGCTAGGAGGCCTGCTCCTAGGTCACTGTGGGGCTTGGACAACTGACTTTCTTTTTCCTTTGGGCCTCAGTTTCTTCTTTAGGGATTTGGCTGATATGGGATTGTCTTCCCTGCAAGGATCTGTTGGGTCCTTTCCAGTACAAGGAAGAGACAGGGGAGAGAGAGGCAGATGTGCTTACAGTTGATGAACCAGACAGATGCCATGGTGATGGAAAAGAACAGCCAAGGGCTCACATCCACCTTCACCAATGCTGCTGTCAGGGCAAAGAGCAGCAATATGGCCAGCAGGCTGCCCAGAATGCGTACGGCCTCGGGGATGCTGCTCGGAAGGGAACAGAGGACATCAGATGGCTAGGTGGGGGCAGGGGTGGGTGGTGGGTGGGTGGAGTGGAGGTGAGGGTGGGGGTGGGGTGGACAAGAAGTCGTGCCAGGGGCAGGGCAGTGGAGCTGGGATGATACAGTGGTTGCCAGGGAAGGACAGCAGGAGCCATTCCCGGGCCTCTATGACATAGTCTCCACAAGGAAGTTGGGGCCTAAGGGCTGGGTCTTACCACTGATACAGGAAGGAGTTGAGGAGGGTAAAGAGCAGCAGAGGCAGCTGGGACAGCAGCGTCACCCAGTTGTTGAAGTTGAACGTGTCTGTGGGGCCTGTGTAGTTGGTGCTCAGCGTCTCCGCTGTGCTGTTGGCCCCAGCCAGCCGCCCCTGGAAGTACTGCCAGATGGGGAAGTAACATAGTGTCAGGAACCGCTTCCTCCCAGCCTTCCCCTCTAGCTCCCCACACTTATGATTGTTTGGGTAATGTCTATGGGACTGTCCTTGCACTGTCTCCAGCACCTGGCACATAGTCAGAGTTCCATGGATGTGCACTGAATTGAATAGCTGAATTCTGGGAACGAGCCCAAGCCTTAAGAAGCCCCAGCTCAGCCTTTATTGTATCTCTGGGTCACCTCTCCTCTTCAGTGCCCTGGTTCCAGCCCCATTCCTGATACCTGCAGCAGCCTGTCCATCCATTCATTCCATGGGTATTTATTGAACACCTACTATATACCAGACTCTGGGTTAGGTGTGAAATCACATATCCTGCCATTTCTCTATATAATGTCTCCATTGCCTACACTGCAGACCAAGTTTCAGGACCCTTTAGAATCTGATCCTAACTTCCTTTGAGTGTTTGTCTCCATCTTCTATTCCACCAAGGTGAGTTTCAGGCACCCCAGGCTCTAGATCTTTCTCAGAACAGGCCCTTTCTTGCCTCTACTTGATTTAAAATTTATTTATCTATTTATTTTATGTGTATGAGTGTTTTGCCTGCATGTTATGTTAGTGCACCCGTGCATGCAGTGCCCATAGAGGCCAGAAGAGGGCGTCAGATCCACTGGAATTGGAGTTACAAGTGGTTGTGAGCAGTCACATGGGTGCTGGGAATCAAACTCCAGTCCTCCACAAGAGCAGCAAGTGCTCTGAACCACTGAGCCATCTGTCCAGACTCCCTTGCCTCAACGCAGAATGCCCTCTCTCCTGTTGGTCCATCTCTCAATGCTTCACCTCTACTTTGGCCTGCCCTATTCTCGATGTGCAAATCTCTCCTATGAAGGAGAAGAATTTCTCCTGAAGACCTGAAAGACTCTGCTCCAAGCTGGAATGGTATGTGTCATATTATATTATTAATAGCTCTGGCCATATCTTGTTCTCAAGCTCAGAAGTTGATTCATCTCTGGGTATTCAGGGACCATCACTGAGCCAGGCACTCCACAGGCACCTGGAAAGCCATAACAGTGAATATATATGAATAACCTAGTCCCCTCCAAAATGCAAGCTCCATTATTTCTGCCTTTTCCTTAAGAGAATGAATGCTCTTGTGGATAGCGCCTCCCTCTGTTCCAGTTCCTCCAGACCTCTAATGCCTGGTCCATAGTACATGTACATTAAATATTTCATATCGTAGCAAAGGAAACCAAGGACCTAGAAAACCCACTTTTGTAGTGATTGGCCCAGAAATAACGACAAAAGTCGTGGGGTAGGGGTGGGGGGTTGCTCTTTCGCTAGTGGCCCTGCCCCTCAGGGACCTGGACATTTACAAATTTGGATTTTCTAACTATGAGAGGGACGGTCCCCTCCTTGAGGTTCAGTGCTTCGGCTGACACGTGAGAGGTCCAAGGTGGTATGGTGAGGAAAGCGACCCGAGGGTTGGAAGGTTGTGGCTATCAGCCGTTGAGTCTCACCGGGATGGCGGTGATGAAGAAGTTCCAGGGAAGGAGGGTGCCCAGGCCCAGGATGAAGAAGCTGATCCCGACCAGGTGGTAGCTGCGGGGAGCAGTCAGAAGGTCATCCCGAGGACGCACGCTGGGGCCCTTCCCGCCTCTGAGGCCGAGCCTGGGTAGAACTGACTACAATCCCCATGATTCCGATCCAGGCCGCCAAGGGAGTGGGCTGACGGGAATTGTAGTCCGGGGGAGATTCTTGGCACCCCTGCGCCTCCGGGCGAGCGAGAATGCCCAGGCCCGTGCCACCCGGGCCTGGCTACGCTCAGCAGCAGGTTCCCAACTTACCTATCCCGCGGGGCGTTTCCACGCGCCATGGCTGCCGTAGCGAACGCGCCAGGCCGGTAGTGGGGCGGGGAGGCTGCAGCTGCTACTGTGCGCAGACCCAGAGACCCGAGGACCGCTCCTGGGCTCTTTGCAGCTCAAATCCCGGGGTCCGAGCGCCCGAGGCAGAGAGATGGTCCAGACTGGGGTTCGGCGGGTCCCAGGCTTTGCAGGATGGGACCTCGGCTCCGCCCCTGGGGCGGGGACAAAAGACCGCAGCACCCCTCCCCCGCAGCGCGGGCTCTACAGACTCGGTGCACACTGGGCGGTGCCTTAGGGTCTCCAGACTCGGTGCACGGCGGCTGCCCCGGAAGGTCTCACTCAGGCCCCCCAACCCTCTCCAGGGGTATCTGTCCTGGATCTTTGCAGGAGGGAAAGAGAGCCCCACCCCAGCACCCCAGCACCCCAGCGGTCCTGGCTGTGTAAGAGTGAGACCACGGAGGACAAGTCACAGCCTTTGGGTTGCAACAGCAAGAGGTTTATTCAGGACACAGGTACCTGTGGGCACAAAGTCTCCTCGGAGGACTAGCGCGCCCCAGGTTGAGTTCAGGGGGTTTTTATAGGGCAGAAGCAGGGTACAGAAGCAGAAGCGTGGTTATTGGTTAATTTCAAAGCACACACAGCAATTTCACCAGTAATTTCAAAAGTATGCAAAGATATGGGGGTAAGGGCCGGGCTAGGGGAAGTGGGATTGCTAAATGGGAGGTGACCTCAGTGACACAGATGTTTTCTTAAGATTTCCTGGTATCGGGCCCTCAGGGTGGTCAGGAGTTCTGACCGTAAAGCCTGTTTATAGCTTGATCTGTGAAGCTTGACGGGCGCCTGCCTGTCTTGCAGCCTTTAGATAAGGCTGGTCCTGGTTTCTGTTGATTTTTAATATGGGCCCCTGAGCACTCATGGCGCCTAGTTTTCTTTATTTCCTCAGCTGGGGCTCCTTCCTCTTGGAGGGCGCCGAGGTGGAAACGCTTTCGTATCCTCTAACCTTTGGCACCCACAGAATGCGCTGCTGCAAAACCTGAGCCCTGGGCACAAGCCCGCGGGGGAACTCGGTGTCTACGCCTGCGCTTGGGGCAGGTGCCTTTGCAGCTCCCAGGAGGATCTGGAAGACTGTAAAACAGATTGTCCCTTCTGCAGCGGGTACCTGGGCAAGCAAACTTCTCTGGGTGAGAGGCTAGGGCCCCCGTGGGGGCTTCCTGGCGGAGGCGAGGTCCAGCCATGTGTAACTGTGGCTGTGAGGTGACGCTAGGGTCCCTCCTCAGAGGCGTCTAGCATCCTCCCAACTGCCACTTGTGTGCCTAGAAACATCTTCAGCGGTCCCACGATGCATCAAGTATCGAGCTACTTCCACGTCCTAGTATCGCCATCATGAAAACTCTGAGAAGATTGCAAATCTCATAATTTTTAAGTTAAAAAAGTTATTCATTTGTATTTTATGCCTACATTATGAAGTACATAATGTGCGGGTGTCGGATAATAACCCTGGAAATAACGGTTGTTACCTACATGTGGGTGCTAAGAATTGGATCTGGTCCTCTGCAAGAGCAGTCAGTGCTCTTACCCAATGAGCCATCTCTCCAGCACCCCTCCACCCCCCCACTCCCCGCCCCCATACAGGGTCTCATTATACAGGGTCTCCTGGCTGGCTTGGTCAGAATTTACAGAACTCTCCTGCCTCTGCCCGCTGAGTGCTGGGATTAAAGGCGCGTGCCACCCTGCCCTTCCGGCATCTCATAATTTATGCATGGGTGTAGTTCCTTTGGGATGGTGGAGAAATGAGAGGCTCTGGACTACATATTGTTTTCATTAACAAATGCAGTTATTTTCAGATTGTTTTTTCCTTCAACTGTCTGGGAATGTGCAGGTCTCTTGGTTCATCGTAGGGGGTTAATAAATTCGATTTTAATCTACAGATGACTATGTGGTGCTAGGAACTGACCACAGAGCCTTATGCATGTTAGGCAAGCACTCTGCCGCTCAGCTACATCCCCAGCCTGAGCTGAGGGAGAACACAGACAGCACTCAATTCAAAACACGGAAAAGCAAAGTTACTTCTCAATTTTCTTTCAAGCCTTAGCACATACCAAGAGAGAAAATCTGAATTCAGTTCTAATATGTTTTCTTAATTCCTTCTGTACCCCAAGCTGACCTCCGAGTGTCTCCTGAAGTTTTACCTAAATACAAGTTAATCATCTTCCTTTTACATTTATTTATTTATTTATTTATTTATTTATTTATTTATTATTTTTGGTCTTTTTGAGACAGGGTCTCCCTGCGGCTCCAGCTGTCCTGGAACTCACTATGTAGACCAGGCTGGTCTTGAACTCACAGGGATCCGCCTGCCTCTGCCTTCCAAGTGCTGGGATTAAAGGCGTGCGCCACCATGCCCGGCCTTACTTATGTTTATTTTTTAATAATTATTTTTAGGGATATTGATACTGGTTTCCTATTTGATAGTGATATAAAATGAGTCATTTAACAAAAATAAAGTGGGAAGCATAGCCTTGGCACTCTCTTGAGGGCAAAAGTGAAGAATGACAGTTTGGGGATCAATGCCCTTTTTTATTTTAGGCATGGAAGAGGCTACCCATTTCGGAGAGGAACAGCCTGTTCCAGGACTGGGGACACGTGAGTGCTGACACCTTGTGCAATATACAAATAGATCTCTTTGGCTGGGAGAAGGGGCAGAGCCTCCCAGAGTTGGATTTCATTCAAGCAGCTGTTCTCAACTCTTAAACTCAGTAATCCCTGTCATTAACAATCACTATTTTGTTCCTCCTCTGCAGTGAAATTCATGTGTAACAAAACTTATAGGTGAAATATTTTAAAGTCAATATGATATTGTAAGTAAGTATGCTACAGAAAGTAAATAAAGGAAAGCATTTAGTAATAAAGTAATGAGCACATCAATAGGTTAACACTCAGATACATGAAGCAATCACATGCTTAGCCCCTCTATAAATGAAACAAAGTACAGCTGGCCCTCTGCATACAGTAAATAGCCAAGCTCTTGAAGAAATGCAGCATTAAACCTTACAAATAATACATTGTGTCCATAAAAAGTGGATTTATAGCCTAGGCTCAGAAAATTATCAATATGGTTATCACAAAATAGTTGCTTTTATTTTGAGTACAGTTTTAGATTTACAGAAAACATGAGCAAGTAGGACAGAGTTCTATATATGATCTGGAACTCAGTTTCCCTTATTTAAATCTTACATTAATGCAGTATATTTATGAGAGTTAATGAACTAATACTGATAATGTAATGAACATGTCAATAGGTTAATGCTCAGATTCATGAAACCATTAAAACCCAGATCACCCTGGGGGATGTTGGCTTTGGGTTTCCAGGTCCCCCCTCCACTTGTGGAGAGCTGCAGCTTTTTGTATGTACATGTGTATGTATGTGTGAGTCTTTATCTGTATAGATGGGATTCTTTATCTTTTGAAGGAGAATGCCCCTCAGATCCCCTCCCTGTCCTCTGAGAAAGAGCTGTCCTCCACCTGACTCTGGAAATCCCCTAGATTGTTCGAACCCTTTCCTGGTACATCTGTTTATGGTTTCTATGGAAATGGTCCGGGGCAGAAGAGGAAGAACATTCTGCCCCAGGTAAGCTAGCCAATGGCTGTATAGGTTAAGGCTCTGGAAATCAGCCCTAGATTGTTCGAACCGTTTCCTAGTACATCTGTTTATGGTTTCTATAGAAATCCCCTGCTCTATGGTTTTTGTGCTTAAAAACCCTGTGTTTCCATGGCTCTGGGTCACAGTGCAGCTCCCGAGCCTGCCTGCGTCCCCAGCCAGTCAGTTTCAATAAAGCAGTTAAGTTTTCGTGAGTCTCAGTGTCGCAGTGGTCAATTCAGGGAATTTTTCGGATCCCAAACACTTTCAATAAAAATTTGACTGTTGCTCTCTGCTGGCCTGAGGTTTTTCCTGCCTCTTAATTCTTTAACTGACTGGGAAAATGACCCCAATAATACTCCTAGACTGATACTAATACCTCCCGCAACACCTTTAATCCCAGTATTTGGAAGGCAGAAGCAGGCAGATCTCTGTGAGTTCAAGGGCAGTGTGGTCTACATAAGGAGCTTGAGGCCAGACCGAGCTACATAAGTGATAAGTGAGGAAAAAATAATAATAAAATTAAAATGGCACCAGGAAACTCTCTACAAAGAGTTGTTTTTTAAAATCCCATGACTACATAATTCCCTTCATTTTACTGGAATTCATCTCCTTTTCTACCAGGCTAGCTTGTTTTCTGAATAAACTTTTTTCTTCTTCTCATGTGTATGTGGTATGCATGTGTATGCATGTTCAAATGTGGGGGTGCATGTGGGAGTGTGTGTGCATGCATGTGTGTATGGGTTTGAGTTTGAAGTCAGGAATCTTCCCCAATAACTCTTCACCTTGTTCTTTGTGGCAGGTCTCTCAATCAAACCCAGAGCTCATTGATTTGACTACTCTAGCTAGCCAGCTTGCTCTTGGGATTCCCAGTCTCTGCCTTCTGTGGCTTGAATTACAAGCATGCTGTGCTTGTCTGAACAGCATCTATGTGGGTTCTGGGGATCTGAACTCTCCACCTCTTGCTCGCACAGCAAACACTTTAGCTACTGAGCCATCTTCCCAAGTTTTACTTTTTTAAAAAAGTTTTACTTATTTTTTATTTTGTGCGTATCAGTGTATTGTCTCAATACACTCATGTGTATAAGTGCAGTGCCCATGGAGGTCAGAAGAGGGTGTCTGATCCCCTGGAACTGGAGTTACAGACAGCTGTTAGTTGCCATGTGGGTGCTGGGAACTGAACCCGGGTCCTCTACAAGAACGGTCAGTGCTCTTAACGGCTGAGCCACCTCTCATTTATTTATTTTTACTTTAGCTGTATGTTTTGCCTGCGTGTAAGTGCACCCATGTGTGAAATGTCCATGGAGGCCAGAAAAGGGCATCAGATCCCCTGGAACTGGAGTTACAGATGGTTTTTAGCTGCCACATGCATGCTGGCAACCAACACAGAGTACTCTGCGGGAACAGTAAATGTTCTTAGCTACTGAGCTGTCTCTTCAGTCCCAACAAAACTGCAAAGTTCAGAGAATTCCCATGTACTTCTTGCCCCAGGCTTGCACAGCCTCCTCATTGATGGCTTCCTGTGCGGAGTGGTATAGGTGTTGCAGTCGGGGAACTTGTACTGCAAGATCAATCATTATTACCCTAAGTCCATAGTTTATATTATGGTTCATTCTTGGTGCTGTATATTCTGTGATTAAAAAATATATTGTATTTATTATTTTTATTTGATGTGTAAGTGTATTGCCTGCATGTGTGTAAGTGTACCCATACAGTGCAATGCCCACAGATGTCAGAAGAGGGTATCAGGTTCCCTGGAGCTAGAATTACGGATGGTTGTTAGCTGCCATGTGGGTGCTGGGAATCAAACCCAGGTCCTCTGCAAGAGCAGCCAGTGCTCTTAACCACTGAG